CAGGGCCCTGCTGAGGGCCTTGTGCGTGGCCGGCCAGCTGCAGCGACTGAATGATCTGGGCGTAGGGTGTGAGGGGGGCCGCTGGAGTTTGCAGAGCCACGGGGGGCTGTGTGGGCTTGGGGGCGGGGACTGGGTCTGCCTTGGACTCTGGGGCCTTCTCGTGGGCAGGCTGGGACGCCAAAGGCTGAGCAGCAGCACTGGGTGTGGCGGCAGGAGGCTCTGAAGACTTGGGGGCGCTCTGTTTGCGGGCACCGGGTTTCAGGGCACTGGGCTGCACGGGGCTGGATGGCTGAGTCTCGCTGAGGGCAGACAAGGAGGGAGACTCCTGTAGTCTGCGGGCCCCAAGCCGGGCCACAGGGATCTCGAGGGGCGCCCCAGCACGGCGGTGCCGGCCCCGGGGCTCTGCCTCCCCCTGAGAGAAGCTACTGCTCTTCTGCAGGCCCCGAGTCTCTGGCGGAGGCTGGTGGCGGGGTGCTGCCTCGCTGGAGGCAGCCCGCGCCAGCCGGGGGTCCCGGGCACGGCTCCCCAGGCTCTCTAGCAGGGGCCCCCTGAGGCCGCTGACCTTGCCATCCTCAGGGCCTCCCCGCAGCAGCCGCTGGCGCAGGGCCTGAAGCCTCTGGGCATACTCACCCTCACCCAGGCCTCCCCGGGTCAGGCGGGTGGCCCCCGGGCTGGGGCTCCGGCGCTGTGGCAGTTCCACAGACGCGGCCTTTTGCAGGCCCCGGCCCGGCTCCCTCAGCCCAGCCCGGGGCAGGGCGCTCTCAGCTGAGCTGCCCCTCCGGAGCTCTCCCCGCCGGGGGCTGGACCCGGCGGGAGGCTCCTGGCCTGGGGAGGGGAGGGCCGGAGGGCTGGGGGCATGCTGGTCCTGAGAGGTGGCCCTTCCCTGCTCCTGCCACTCCATGGGGGTGGCAGCCCCAGCCTCTGGGGTGCCCAGGGCCTCGTCCTCAGTGGGAATGTCAGTGAGGGACACTCGGGAGCCTGAGAACTCGGGCTGCAGTGGTCGGGGCACTGAAGGCAGCTCCTCCAGCTCCTCCTCTTCAGAGTCAGAGGAGGAGGAGAGCCCCCCACTGGGTGGCGTTCTTCTGGGCACGGCCACCCACACCCGCTCCGGGGGTGCCCGAAGCAGTTCAGGGATGGGGCGCAGCACCAGGTGGCACTTGTAGCTGATCTGCGAGCGCTGAAGACAAAGTGCTGGAGTCAGACCTGAGGGACCCTGGGGCTGGACTGACCCGCTCAGGCCCACCTCAGCCCCCCGGGGGGGGGGAGGCCTAAGGCAGACAGAGAGGGCTGGGGGCAGGAGGGACACTGGGAGTTGAGAGAGTAAAAAGTAGATGAGGGTGGGTGAGTAGGAAATGAGGGCTCAGGGCAGAAAAAGGCAGGGCTGGAGAGAAGGCTGCAGAATGGGACAGTGGAAGGCACAGAGCAGGACCCAGTCAAACTCACCTGCCACCTGCGCCGGGAGAGGAATAGCTTCAGGTGATCCGTGCTCACCTCTGCGCCCTTTGCCTGTGTCTGCAAACCCGGGAAAGAGGGACTTAGGGAAGTCCTTTGTCAACCTAGACCCTCAAGGTTTGGCAATGGAGACAAAGTCCACAGGAGGGAACAGAGGGCCAAGCAGCATTGAGTCCAGGGTCCTGGGGGTCCCCTTCCCCTTGGATCTGTCACAATAACTCCCACAGCCAAGGTGCCCACATGTAGACAAATTCCCTGAACCTAAGTGGAGAGGCCAAAAACCAGTGGCTCCTGGGGTGGGCTTTAGAACTTACACCTGGGCTCAAGGCCCTGTCCTGGTATAGTGGCTGCCCTGGAAGGCCTGTGCTTAGGCCGCTGGCCTTGGCCCTACTGCCCAGCTTGCCACCTGTCTCCATGTGGAGCTAGTGCCCCAAATAGCTGGAGTCTTGGTGGGCCAGACCAAGACAGATGCCTCCCCCAGCCACCCTCCCAGTCTGTCCTCTCTGGAGCTGGTTTCTGATCTGGGAGACAAGGTTCGTTCTCCAAGGACAGACACCAGAATTACCTCAGCCTTCAGTTGACCCAGCACAATTCCCAATGGATGGTTTATTCAGTCGCTCTTTCTGGGTCATTAGCTGACCCCCCCCCCCCCC